ATATATGACTAAACCAATTAATAAGAAAATGCTATTAATATTAGTTAACTTTATTAATTAAATGTTTTTACTATAATTATTAAAGTATTTATTTTTTTGTGTTTTAACTTAATAATATTTAGTAGAGTCATAATTAATTAGATAAAACAATACATAATATTGTTTTAGATATCTATTTTTACCAACATAAAAATTAATTAATAAAATTTAAGGTATAATATTAACATATAATCTATTTAATAAAGCATGAAATGAGAGATTAATATAATGTATAAAATATAATAAAGATGTAATTGGACATACATTTGTTAGTACAGTATATAATATTATACATTAATTGATTGGCTTTACATCAAACAATTACATATTAAAAACTAATTATAGTCACTATAATGTGATCACTAATATTAAGAGTATTGTATGTCATTGTGATTGTTATTAGAGAGTCGGTAGTTGTTTATTATTACCAATGGATTAACTAAAATATAGTTTTGCTTATTCATGTCTTATATCGATATGTATGGCATTGAAGTAATTAGATATCGATATTAAGGAGTAAGAAAATCAAACAAAATATATGATCACATATTTTATGCTTAGTCTATAAGTCGGCAAAAACATTATATACATCGACAGTGAAATACCTAAACCATTATCTGGAGAATTACGGTCAATATATACGATATTTACAATATATAAGCAAAGAGAGGATAGTATGGGTCACTAAATTAAGTTTTCTATAACTATGAAAGTATTGCAAACCAATGCATCAGTTAATGGATACCAATGCTATGGATATAAATGAGAAAATGAGAAATTACTTATAAGAAACTTCTGAGAATTTTTTAGAAAAAGTTTTTAAAAGAAATTTCCTTTTCTATGAAATTTTAGTTTTTTGTAAATTGGTTTTTCTTGTAATACACATTTTTTTGTTTTCAAAATTAATAAAATTTATACAATTTTTTTGTGCATATTTTGCACAATTGTAATCAATATCTCTTGTTTCAAGTTTAATAAATTATTATTTGGATAACTTTTAAATTAATTTAAATTGTGAATCAATTATACAGTATTATAAATCCAAATTATTATTAATAAATATTAGCAATTTTCTAAAACTTAATATATTGTATTGTATTGTATAATACGTTGTATTTAAGGAAAATAAATTTTTAGAAATTTTCTTATGAAAATTTATTAGAAATTTCTATGTTCTATATGTTAGTAAATGTTAGACAACTAACACTAGTATCGATAAACAACTGTTAGTTATGGAGTATAAGAAAGAGTGTCGGGGATTGGCATTCAATCACAATCACAATAATCTGAGTGCAAAAAATAAGATTTGTATGTAATTGTTGTGCACCCATACCTAAAAACGCAATGTTCTCTCTCTCTCTCTCTCGCTCTCTCTCAAACACACACACACACACACACACACACACACACACACACACACACACACATACATACACACATACACACATACACACATACACACATACACACATACACACATACACACATACACACATACACACATACACACATACACACATACACATACACATACACATACACACACACACACATACACACATACACACATACACACATACACACATACACACACACACACACACATACACACATACACACATACACACATACACACATACACACATACACACATACACACATACACACACACACATACACACATACACACATACACACATACACACATACACACATACACACATACACACATACACACATACACACATACACACATACACACATACACACATACACACATACACACATACACACATACACACATACACACATACACACATACACACATACACACATACACACATACACACATACACACATACACACATACACACATACACACATACACACATACACACATACACACATACACACATACACACATACACACATACACACATACACACATACACACATACACACATACACACATACACACATACACACATACACACATACACACATACACACATACACACATACACACATACACACATACACACATACACATACACATACACACAATCACTAACTTACTGTTACACTACTGGCCATAGTTTGCTAAGTTTTTTTATGAATATTATTACTGTTTGAGTAAACATTACACGGCATTACATCATTTTATGGCACAAAATGATTATTAGCAAAAAACAAAACAAAAAACTTTAACTATAATATCAACATTTCTGTAGAAATAAACTAAACAACACTTTTTTGTGGTAAATAACAATCTAATAATCAAAGAAATAAAAAAACTACTTTCCATCTCTCGACTAATTCATTGAATGTCTATATGTTTTTGTCTATACATGTAATGTCTATTTATAAATACAGTACAGTATATGTCTATTGAGTTAAAGACCAAACTTTTAGATACATCTCTACTTGAAGTCTAAAGCAAAGTGGATGTCTATATCGCACATCAATACGAGATTTTCATGTCATTCATTTGGTTCACTACTTGACTATCAGTTAAACCGTTAGAGTTTTTAGTGAAACTAAATGTACGATCAATTTTGGGTTAATCTACACTCAGTTTGCTATCAATTTATTTTGTAACAGTATTATGTATAGTACATCCACTATGTTGTCCATTACTATAGATGACTATCTTTTTATCCAACTGTTTGTAACTTTTAATTAAAGCACTCCAGAGAGAGAGAGAGAGAGAGAGAGAGAGAGAGAGAGAGAGAGAGAGAGAGAGAGAGATGTTTTATTGTAAATGTATATATCAACTTATATTACAAAATGAGTGTGAAATTAAATATTAAAGTTAGTTTTCTAATGTTAATCATGTTTGCTGAATACAGAGTAGTCAAGTATAAATAATATACTAAATAAATATATATATATATTGCTATATATAAATAGATTCTAATTTTATCCTTATATTAAAATATTAGATTTCATATCAATTGAAACTTAAATTATATTACTAAATAATAAGTTGCTAATTTAGATACTATGGTTTCAATATCAATCAATATTGATAGAAAATTATACTTTTAATTAACAATAATACTCTAATTGCTTGATTATTATTTTATTATCTGTAAAAAATATATGAATTATATTAAAATACTATAATTTACTTTTCTTTACTTGATTTTTTTGAGTAATTTATTTTTTGTGTTACATATAGACTATCTCATTACTCAACTATTTATTTGACAGAAAAMTAAATTATACTTTATATTCATTATTTTTTTGTGTCTCTTTTTAGCTTTGATTCTGACTTTAACTTAATAATGAAAGCATAATAGTGTAGTCCTTTCAATATGTGAGAGGAAAGACACATAAGAGTCCATACAAATACAATAAGGAATAAAAATATAGAGAATATTCTTGTTATGTAAGAATTGGAGTTTTATTTGTTTCGATATATAAATATATATAAAAAACATTAAATGAATCAATGAATGAATGAATGACTCGTTGTTTGAATGAATTACATTTGTGTGAAACAGTAGTATATTTTTAATACCAGAGTTTATCTGACTATAAGTCTATTTCTTGTTTCCATTTGTGACATAAAAATTCACTCAATTTTTTATGTGTTAGGGCTATAAACTCTTTTTTTTGCTACAGTTTTTATTGTTCAGGAAATTGTATCAGACTTTTTGCAATTTTATTTGATATTAGATTATACACAGAGTAGGGAATGAGTGAGTGAGTGAGTGAGTTATGAATTATATAAATAAATATATTGTGTTTAACTACAGTTTAAAAGGAAAAAAAGAGTGAAAAAACTAATTAAAATAGTTATTATAGATATTCATAATTGTTTTTATGTACATTTTTTTTATATAATAGTGTATAATTTATCATTAATTGGGTTTAGTATTACTTTTTACAATAGTAATTATTTTAATAAAAAATAATAAATTATTTGTCTTTATTATTTTGAAATAATTGTCAAAATGTACAACAATGTTTATAACTATAAATATAAGATATACAAACTTATCCTTATGTATTCATTATATATATAAAATATTGTTATATAATAAAAAATATATTTTTAAAAATATTTCTATTCATATGACATCAATTTATATTATGCTTATRTATTAAAAAAACACAATTTGCATAAAAAACACTGTAGGGGTTGTACAACCAATTTTATTTTTTATTATTTTATACATAAATTTGACTATAAATAGATATATAGATATTTCGTTCAAATTTTTCAAAAAATTTTATTTGAATACAATGTTTTATAGATTCATTATGTTTACTAATCATATACTGTATAATACTAAATATATTCATATATTTTTATGACAGTCTAATAATCTAAAAATGAGAAACAATAAGAAAATAACGACAACAACAACACCGATGACAAACCACAGAGATTGGTGTTAATAGTGGTGGACATCATCTAAATGGACGCATTGGTCGTCATATGCGACCATTTGCTGCTTTACTGGGCATTCATTGCACAGTTGTTTGCATTTGTCACGGCTGTCAACACTCAATGCGATTGTGTTGTCTTTGATGACACTTTTGGTAAAGAGTTTGGTGTCTTCACATCACCCAATTGGCCCGTCCCGTGAGTAACCAATCATAACAATTATTGTCAAAAATACACTATATTTTCAGTCATGTGTCTGTATTATGTGACTTTAATACCAAAAATTGTTGTCACAATTCTGGTAACAACACATGCATTACATACACACACACTCACACACTATATWTATATTAAGGGCACATGTAGTCCATTAATCATTAGGACTGTCTATTAAAACACTATATAAAACTTTAATCAAAGATTGTTGTCTAATAATATTTATTTTTTGTCTTTTCTTGTGGTCAACCATTTCGTGGTAACAGATATGTAGAAAATATCAATTGTTTGTTATACTCATTCGTATCCCATAAGAACCAAATCGTTGAAATCACTTTCGATGAGTTTGATGTCCAGAAAACTAGTGTCGAGTGAGTCATAACTTTTCATTGATGGCTAACCATCTATTGCTTTACCAAGAAATCCATAAAATAAAACTACTTTTTCTCTGAAATAATGCCTAATTTCCATATAAATTAATGTAATTTTCTGTTGTTTTTCTTCCAATCCCTTCACCCATACTGTTCTCTCATCGCACCGTTAGCTGTGAATACAGCGATTTTGTTAAGCTATTCCTTCATTTGGTTGAACCGGGTGTTAATGAGAAGACCAGTTGGAACTCCATATTGTGCGGAAAGATAGCGGACATCGAGCAAACACATTACAGCTCACATTCAAACCTTATATTTGAGTTTCGCTCCGATTGGAGGAACGGTAATAACACTGGCTTTAGGGGCACCTATAGGTTCTTAGATAAAAGTGAGTAACCTTTCTCTCTTTTTTCCTCTTTTTCCTCTCTCTCTCTCCCTTTGTGTCAATAATTGTCACAAATATTTGCCATCAAATTCCTAATATATTGTCAATAAACAAATCCGAAAGCCCTGTCCATTCAAATTAATATAAACTTAATTTTCTCTCAGTTTTCTGTATTTTCACATTTTTTCTCTTTTGCTTTTTATTATTATTGTAAACCAAACACAAATGCATTGTTTTGATTGAATTTATGGCTTTTTTGTTTGTATTATATTTTGTTTTTATGTAGAATTGTTTCATACGGACGGAGAGCTGACTAAAGGCAGTCAATGCGATTACACGTTTGTCAGCTCCGCCACAACCAATGGCACCGTCAGGTCCAGGGGTCGCTTCTATAGTCTACAATATCCATCGACATACCCGAAAAATATCCAGTGCTCATAYAGTTTTTTTGGTCAGGATAATGAAAGAGTGAAAATTATCCTGGAACAGGTTAGACTACAAAAAAGTGATCTCAGGTTAGTTATCAATAGATATAATTTGTAATTAATTTTTTTTTAAATTTCATCTAATAATAAAAAAATGTTTGTCTTTTTTTTAGTTGCATCAGTAGTCCCGATGTGATCCTTGTCTACGATGGCAACGATACGAGTGCTCCAGTGATCGGACAGTTATGTAATATCAACAGTTATGTTGAGTTGGTGTCCACCGGTCCTGGACTATACATAGAGTTCCTGAGCCGGAGTCATATGCCTGGACAGGGATTTAAAGGCAAATTCATATTCGACACAATTGCCAACAGTGCCAATGGTAACGGTTTGGACATACCCTCAACTGGTAAGTGATTGAACTGTTTGAAAGGGTGGCCCTTATATCGCACTCTATTGAGTCGGAATTGCATTTAACAATCGATCGACTTTTTTGCACAAAATTTTAAATCGATATTTAGCACTGTTTTTATAATATTATATATAAACAAAATTTATGTTATTTGGTTGTTTAGTATTTTATTTGAATCCTATAAAAATAATTAAATAAAAAATAATTAAATTTTAAAACATATTTTGTTAAATAAAATTGTAATAATTAACAATTATAATTATATACAATTTATATAATTATATAATTAATAATAACAGTTAACCCATATTTAACAGTTAACTCTTATTATAATAGGAGGTGGACTATGAAATAAAAAAAAATAAAAATCTGTTTTTGACGTGGGGTTCAAATTGCAAATGATTTAATACCTAAACAGTGTCGATATAGCATTGAGTTTGATTTGATGACAAAACAGGGAGGGGTGCAAACTAGACCTCCCGGTTTGAGTCATTAATTATATTTTTTGGATTGATTTGAGACATAAAATTTATGCGTTTGTGTCTTACAATCTTTCAGTGATATATATCAGTAAAAATCATTGTTAATATCTAGACTTAGTTTTTGATGAAAATTACGGTACGTTTAGAAATAATATTGAAGTTAATTTAGTAAATAAGTACTAATAAGTAGAATAAAATTAAAGTACTTGACTATTAGCATAATAATGTACTATTAGTTACAAATATAAATTATATAGTTTTTGTTTAAATTCAATTAAATGATTAAAATATCATAATATAGAATATTAATATTTATTTAATTAAATTTTACACCTAATAATCGTAAATAAATTTCAAAACTTAGATACATGTAATAATATTGAGTTTAATTTTTATATTTAACAAATAATATAATAAACATAAAAAATAAAGCTTTTTTATAAAATTGTTTTAAATTAAAATTTAGTATGCTATAAAATAAAAAAATATTTGAATATATTTTTCCAATTTAAATGTTTGCATTTGTGACAATGAATATATTAATAATTGATTAAATATATTTTTTAATAATTGTAGTCAAAATGGTTTTTTAAAAATCGTTAAAAATATTTTATTTTCTTTGCAGATTTTTTTTATTGTAAAATACATTTAAATTTATTAATTCAATTTTTGAAAAAATACTAACATTAGTAGTTTAAAGAGGTTTACTGAATGTCTATTATACTAAATACATTAATATATAAATATATATCATATATATTTACGGTATCAACAAAAAAATATTATTCAAATGTTGAAGAAAACGAGTGCGAAATTTAGTTGTAATACAAAATATACATAAAAAATGAATTTCACTCTACTTTAGATAAAATAATAGTTAAGTTATTTCTCTACAGAATATTTTTTTGAACATTTATTCACACAATATGTCATAAAAAATTGTTGTGTTTTTAAATTACATGAATTCCATTAGTGCTATGAAAAAGAAATAAATTTATGAGAAATATATATATAAGTGAAGATATATCTATCATTTACATAATATTATTATTATTATAAGCAAAATATATTATACGAGACTTACAGTATGATGTTAGACATATCATAGAACTTAAATATATTATTATATGATAAGTTACATAACGGTATTTATATATATTATATATTGAAAGTTAAGTTACACTTCAAATAAATAGCAATTTTTTATTGTATTTAGTATTGTTATTATTAATATTGTATTTTGTCAGATGGCGTGTTATCTTTAATTATAATAAATTTATTTATTTTTATTTTAAAATACAGAAAAATTTTAATATTCTAATTGAAATTTATGAAAGATATTGAAAATTATAGTCCTCAATGACTGATTAGATGTATGTCCAGTACTAGAGAGAGAGAGAGAGAGAGAGAGAGAGAGAGAGAGAGAGAGTCTTGTTTTAAATCTTAGTTTTTATTTTATTAGTCTTTCAATTATCTAATAAAAATTTATCTAAACTTAATACTTCTTAAATATCACTGTAACTGAAATTAACAATTTATATCATAAAAAATATTTCTGAAACTAAAATTTTATCTAATRTTTTAAGACATAATATTTTTTTCCTCTCAATATTATTCAATTTATTTACTACTTGAATGAGAAAAATATTTTTTCTGTTATTACATTTTTTACATCAAAATCTTCAAATGAATTATCATTTTATTAATTTAATGTTCTCTATATATATATATATATATATATATATAAATATCAGTAAAAATGGTAACTATTTTTTCAGCCACATTATGGTTTTCAACAAAAAAAAATAGTATGGCGATCTCCCGGTGCTCAACACAAACATATTGTCACTATCATAGATAACAGTGCAATGAGCAGGCTTTTCAAGGAAAATATTTATATTGAAAATTGCAATTATTAATTATAAATTAGTTAAATATAACTTTAATTAGTTTTTTAAACTAATGATATATATAATAAATACTATTATATATATTTAATTATTAAAAAATTAATAATAATCTAAATATGTAACACATCACTAGTATTACATTGGTTATCATTTAATATATATTTATAAATATATATTTTCTGAATTTTATTTTTGTTTTATATATATWTATGTTATATTTTATTTTGATTTTCAATACATAGATTTACTGCTAAGAACTATGATAAAAGTCAAAATATAAAATATTTATTTTATTTTCACATTTATATAATACATATAATATATATATATATATATTTATAAACGGGTCTCGTATTGTTGAAAAAATGTCGCAATTTTTAAGAATATATTTTAATTTTTAAAAGTCATTTCCTGAACGTGTCTATCGTTGCACTCAATATTACTTATAAATAAAATCATTGATAGTATTACTTTACAAAAGAAATATTTGTCACAAAAATTGTATCACAAGAATTGAAATTTTAAGTCCATTTTCACAGACATATCATACAATATATATATATATAATAATCATTGAATATTATTTGTATGTCGAAAGTACAGTCATATGTCTGATTGATTCAAACATTTTATTTTCAAACAAATAGTGAATAGATTGAGAGTCAGAAACAAAATTTAAGAATAGAGTTATATATATATTATATAATAGAAATGAAGGCATCAATTATAATACATTTCATATCAATATCAATAAAAAAATAAGATAAGAATCGGTGAGTGAAATGCATTGAAAATTCATGACATGATATAAATATTGTAATAAATATTAAGTTACATAATATCTATGTTATTGCAAACTCTTTTTTAAATTAAATTTTTGCAACAAAAAAATATTTAAATTCAAATCACTTACAATTTACATATAATAAATATATTGAGTTTTATATGAATTTCGACAATAAAATATGCTTAGAATATTTATTTTAAAATGTAATAAAATTTATTTTGAAAAACATACTTTCAATTTAAATTCTAGAGACAAATTATACAAAAAAAAAATATTTTTTTGTACTAATTCAACATATATTTTTTAAAAAATATATGTACATTTAGTTGCCTTATGTTTATTTTACAGTATAATTATATAATATATAAATTTATACAATTTATACATTGAAAATATAAATTGATATTTCAGTGTTATGTTAATAAAATACTCATTTATCTCTGACAGACAATCATGTTATGTAAGACATTGCTTGAACTCGCAATATACTGTGGTTTTGACGTTAAATAATAGTATAATAGTTTCACAAACACACACACACTCACTCACTAACTCAATCACAAAAACACACACATTGTGTATATTTTATTAAATGGTTTTAAATATATATATAAAGTATATTGATTTTAACAATTGTTTATATTTTTGAATTAATTTTCTTATGCATGTAAAAATATAACAGAATATTTAGTATCGTAATATGTATAAAATATGAATAAAATATGTATAAAATATGTACATTACAATAAATTTGTAGAATATATTGTATTTTTATATATATATWTATAAATTACTGTATTTRTGATAGTTTGTACAGTACTTGTGATAATTGCTAATTTAATACATTCATATTCTTTATATGCTTTTCATATAACAAATAATGATTATATTATTATGTAAAATTATATTATATACAAATAGATATATAAATTAATAATTATATTTATTGTGTTGTTAACTTTTAATTACAGTATACTGTAATTTTTAATAATTAATTTTCTCTATAAAACAAACATAATATATTAATTATTAACATATTTATATACATAAATCAAATAAGATATCATAATGTATACGATATGTTAATCTATAATATTATGATAAACTAGAAAATGTGTACATTTTAAGTTGCAAATCGATAGAGAGTTTCGCTAAAATAGAAGACTTTAATTAAAATCATTAATTGGAAAATTACTATTGAATACACAATTCAATTGTTGAAATAATCATTAGTTGGTCTCTGAATGGTTAATGAGATAAATGAGTTGAATATAGTCTAACACACAATATATAACATTATACTATATTTCATTGAAACAATTCTATGCATTGATGTAAACGACCAAAAAGTTTAAGTCCATTACAATTTTTTTTAAAAAATACAATATGTTATGTAAAGTCAGCCCAATTTAATAGTATTTAAAATATACTGTAAATACTGTCATATGTTTTTATTATTTAATTTGTTCACTTTAATAAATAAATTTATTATAGATTATTTATCTTAAATTTCAAATATTAATTTAACATTTCATTCAACAGACAAATGCTTAATATACAGTATATATATATATTTAAAAGTAATATATTTGTTTCAAAATTAGTTTTATTTAAAATCTATGAATCAGATAGAAAATTATGATTTAAATAAAATGCATAAAAATTTGTGTAAAATGCAGTCGTATTTATACTAAATATATTTAATTATTGTCAAAAATTAAATAGTCAGAATGTACTTAAAATTTGAATTAAAAAGTATTTATTTTAAAAATTAATAAAATATGCTAAAAATAATATTATAATGGCCATCTTTTTATT